TCCCAGCTGGCTCCGTTTACTACCTTCCACACCTGAAACATCTTACCTTTTTGTCCAGGTTTTTGTGCCTCCTGTTTACTGTATGGGGCCCTGGGTTGTCAATTCTTGTTTTCCCTTTTTCTCTTACTACTTTTTATTCTGAGTAGCCTCACTGAGCAGGTGAATGCTATGGTCCAAACTCCCAGGATGGGCATCAATTGTTGGAGAAACCTGCAGTCAGGTTCCAGTCCCTACCTGCTCAGTGTGTGGTGCAGGACTGAGAAATAAGTGCACTGAGACAGAGCTAGGAGAGAAAGTGGGGGCCGGGATGACCAATGCCGGTGCAGCCGACAAAGGCCCTGGCCAGTCCCAGGCACTGACTTTCATTGGCAATCAACTGGGCTGAAGGTGAACTACGTGCAAGGACAGGGCTATGTGTAGTTTCTGTGGGAATTAATGTAAACAAGGCTCATAAAGGACAAAGCATCCTCAAATTAGGAACAGAATAGACAAAACGTGTCCTTAGAACACCGTCCTTCTAGTCAGAAGGTTTTAGCTGTGGGAACGGAATCTGGGTGTGAGTCACTCTGACCTCAGTGAGTAGGCTTCAGCCGGACTCACTTCTGTAAACAGCCAGTTGTGGGATTCCCCCCACAGCCTACCTGGGCATAACCGATATTACAGTGCTCTGCACGTTCTAAAGGCAAAATATTTTTCTGTTCAAATAACTGAATGGTTACGTATACAAAATACATTGGTACTACTTAACAAAAAGGTGTTGACATAATGAATCCAGAGTTTTAAGTGTGAAATATCTAAACTATGAATTTGTGAGACCAATGTAATTAATAAAAAATGTTTTCCCCCCAAATTCAAGGTCTGGTAGGTTCCCCTAGCTCTCCACTTATCAACTCTAAAAATGTAAATTAAACTCATTTAAAAAAATTCTCAATTTGATAACAGGTTCCTCGAGTTTGCATTTGCTTTGCTGTGGGTCTGGGAGAGCACGGGAGCCCAGGGTGGGGTTGAGATCTAACCCTCCGGGATCCACCAGTGCTGGGAGAGCAGCTGAGCCACGGTCACCCGTCCTGTCACCTGAGGCAGTCCCAGGACCTGCTTCCTAGAGTCTGCACTGTGCATTCTGGAGACCCTGCACAGCTCCCTCAGCCTCTGGACCTCTGCACCGCCTCCTCACTGTCAAGGTCTAAGACGTGGTCACTCTGAGGGTGCTGTCTGGGGAGCCACAGAATGCAGTAAGACCCAGAGGGACGCGGGCTTGGATTACATTTCACATCTCCTCCTTCCTGGCTTTAGTGACCGGAGCCAGGAATGCAGCCTCCTCCATGGAATGGGCGGCTGGGAACCGAGGGGGCAGGGACAGGAAGTACCTGCAGTGCCCGTCCTAGTAACTTGCTGGCCTTCAACCTTCAACTGTGCCCGATGCCTTAGGTGTTAATGCAGTGAGCTGTGCCACAGGGGCCAAAACCGCAGTGCCTGTCCACGGCCCTGCTCAGTTTAGAGTCATGGCAATGGAACGTTTTGCTGAGAGCCTCTACTTCCTGTGGAGTTGCAGGCAACTTGTGGTAGTGAAGGATCCCTGGATTGGGGGGAAGAGAACTGAGTTCGGTGCTGGTTCTGCCCTTGACCACCTGGAAGTTCAGCCCCATGCCTCCCTTCAGTGCTGACCGGTGGGATAACGAGAAGTTTAAGTCACTTTTCCACAGTTGCACAGAGCAAGAGAACACTAAATTCCAGCCCAGCCAACCCGACTCCAAAGCCTGGATTCCTTTTCAGGTATTTTTCCCCTGTCCTAAACCAATGGCAGGAAGTCCATTTTCCTGCTTTCTGACACCAAGCTTTCAGAAGGCAGGTCTGATAGCATCACATACCTGCTCTAACACCTCCAGGGACTTCCTGCTGTTTATCAGCTGCAGCCAAGTCCAGAGTCTGGAATCCTGAGTGCTTTCAAAGGAGCTCCCATCTTTTCCAGCTTGACCTGGCCCCTCCTGTCCATATAGTCAGATCTAGCCAAACCCTCTGGATGAGCTCCTATTCATCCCTTAAAGCCCAACTGAAATGGCACTGCTGTAGGAAAGACTCCCCTAGAGGAATCCACTGTTTCCTCAGTCCTACTTGACAGGTGTAGAATTGCATCATAGGTCACTCCCTGACCTGTCAGAGAGACAGCTCCTCAGGAGCAGAGCAGCTGTACCATTCATCACAGCGCCCACAGGCCTCTCTCAGCTCTTGTCTGGAGGGGAGCAGGAGAATCCCTGTCTGGTTTTAATCTGGCTAAATTTCCTCTTTCAAAGAGATTTACAGAGACCACGTCTGGTGGAGGGAGAGGAGGAACAGGACTGGCAGGTGCGACTCCGGCCCCTCTGGAGAAGGAGCGAGCTGTGACAAGAAGAACCAAAGCCATGGTCTTGGCAGAAGCGGAGCGTGGCCAAAGGCACAGTGAGAGCGACGGGACACGCGGGGGACAGGCCACGGCTGTCCCTGCTCACTTTCTGCTCATGCCTGGCGCTCGGCTGGACGCTTCTCAGAATCAACCTCTCATCCTCACAGCGGCCCCGGAAGATGAGAACATCAGGATCAGAGAGGCAGAATAATGTCCCAGAGGGCCGCAGTGTGGAGAGGGAGGGCGCCCGAGAGGAACCGGCAGCTGTGGAGCCAGATCCCGAACCCCGACAGTCCCCACAGATGGCATCAGCGGCCTGGATTCCCTTTACCTCCTCCCTCAGTGCTGGGAGCCTTCTGCAGACGAGGTGAGTGCTGGCTCTGACCTAGGGGCACTGAGATACTGAGATAAGACACCATCTGCAGCCCAAGACTGTCTGGTGAAAAGGGAGGGGAGTCTTCACCCAGAAAGACCTAAAAGAGACGGACTGGTAACCACATGTGCTTGGAACTGGAGATATTAATACACGACCCAGGGAAAAGGTCATCATGGAGAAGACTCCGATGCACACCCTTCCACTTCCTTCTCAGAATTGCTGTAACTCAGCAAGCGGCAGGAAATAAACGACAGACCCGTCTTTTGGAGACCTTAAGGGTCGGGCCGCAGGCAGCCTGACCCATTCGAGTTGTGTGAGACCTGTTGAGGTGGAAGCTCGTGTCCTGCCCTCTCCAGAACTGAAGGCAGAAACTAGAGAAAGCCAAGTTGGTAACCACTTTTGATTTCGGTCTCTGACTGTGAGGGAGATAGTCTCAGTTGCTTTCTTGTCGCCGGGATACAGCTTAAAGGGGGTGGACGTTTCTGTCCATGGTGGGCTGCTCCAAGGCGGGAGCATGGGGAGGGGCCTGGCTGGGGAAAAAGGTGCCGGACTCGTGGGGCCAGGAAGGCGGGAAGGGCGGAGCTGGGGACAAGCACACCACTTCCTGGCCAGCCCGGGCGACCCCTCCAGCCAGGCCCCACCTCCTGTAGCACCTCTGCCTACTGAGTGCCCCTGTGGGCAAACCCACAATGCATCTAGCGCCCCATGATCCACCTTCCACACGCATGAGAATTTGGGGGCTCATAATCCATCTGAGCCATAACAGCTAGGTTTTCTTCTGGGCCAACAAAATAACAGTTGTTCGATAACTGCTTACTAAGCACTCATGCCAAGTTGTCAGTAAAAATTATACGTAACTTTCCGAACACTCTAAAAGATAGAAGAACTCAGCTGTTTGGCTCCTGCTCTTTATGGAGTTTGAGGCGGCAGTTGGGGACATCGTATGGCCCCTGACCGCTGCTGAGGCTCCTTGTGGACAAAGCTCGCACTGCGTTCTCAGAGCGTGAGCCCAGCTTGCAGGTGAGGGCCTCAGGAAAGTAACGCTGGAACTGGCCAGCCGCAGAGGCCACACAGGAGCTGGGTGCCACAGACCCTGACTCTCCTCCAAGTTTCTGTTTTTCTGTTTTGGTTGTGTTGTGGCTGTGATTACTCTGTGTTTCTTTCAGACAGAGTTTAAAGTCAATTTTTTAAAACATGCAGTACACATGGCACCGCACATAATACATACAACTCATACAAAGCACATTTATTACCTAACAACCTAAAGATGTACACACACAGCTGAGGCTACAAGGGCAGGGTGTGAGGTGGAGCTGGGCTTGATTCTGTATTTGCTGGAAATTAACTTGCCACACTCTCTGAACAGCCAGTGCAAAGGTGGAAACGTGGGATTTGCAGGACTCACACGTCCATAGCAGTAAAGGAACTTGATGATGAAGAAGAGGAGATTTTGAAGACCATTTCCCCGGGTCGTCACGTTTCGTAGTGACAGACAGGGAGGCCTGGGATCCTCCTCCTCCACACTGGTATGTCTCAATATGTCACCTTTCACTCTTCTCAAAAGAGATGCATTCTCTAGGGACCCTAAGAAAGGGAGGAGGAGGAGGAGAAAGGCTCGTGCTCGCTCCACTTACCCACCCACACCCACAGGAGCGGGCTGTGCTTACTGCCAGGCTGTCCACCCTGGGGCCCTAGTGGCCTCCCATGAAGAGTCACCAGGAAATCTCTCAGGCTTTGGGGACCAAGTGGGCGCTGCTGAAAGAAGCATCGCTTTTGCCCCTACAGCATGAAAACAGCCTTAGGCTCCCTGTCCATGGCGGCCATGCTGTGTACCAGTAAAACTTTATGTCCAAAGTAAGCACTGGGCCAGGCGTGGGCGATAGCCTCAGTGTACCAGTTCCTGGTCTAACCGCCTTTTGGTCCTTTTGACCTCCTTCTCCCTTTTTGAAAATACAATTATTTTTAAGTCTTTTATTTTTAAATCATTATAGACTCGCGGGAGCTACAGAGATAGTGTGAAGAATTTTTTCCCTCATACCATGTACCATAGTTGGACCAGTCCTCTGTCGTGCACTATTTGGGTGGTTGTATTGGTCTGCAGTGTATGCAAATGCTGCCACACCGTCACACACAGGTTCGGAGTCCCAGTTCCTTGCAACCGGTGGGTGGGCATTTCCTGTGGGGAGCGCTGGCTCAGCCCCAGGCCTGTCCAGTGCTCAGCAGAAGTGGTGGCTCTTCTTCAGGGACCTCGAGGCTGACGTTGCTGGAATTCAGGCACTGTGCAGCACACGGAAGGCAGAGGGTAAGCGCTAGAATCGCTCCTCACTGACCTGTGCAGCTGCAGTAAACCTGGGCAATGCTGTTCTTCGGTTAAAATCAAAGTCTTTTCAAACAGGCTGTGTTTCAGCTGTGCACTTTGCTTCTTCCTCTCTACACGAATTCGCGTGTTTCACAGTGTCGAGGTTCACACCCCAGTGGATGGCACCCCCGCAGCACCCCCATAACCTCCTTATTTTCTTTGAAACAGAGCTGGCCTCTAAGCATCATGCACCCCCAGTGGGGAGAAAGTGCAATGGAGCTTCCCTTTCCTTTTGTCCTTTAACTGAACTACTGTTTAGAGAGGGCTCAGCTTTTCCGTCTCCAGAGCAGCGATGACGAACCTTTGAGAGGCCGAAGGCCAAACTGCAAGGCAAAACCACTTATTTATTGCAAAGAGCCAACACCACAATGAGTACTGAGATTTTAGGGTTAGGAAAAAATGCGCACATTAACATCTCTCGTCTTAAAAGAAAACAGAAGTGTGCCGTGGGTTCGCCACCACTGCTCCAGTGGAAGAGAGGACAGGGCGTGGGGCGTAGACCCCCTGCTTCCTGGGCTCCGCTGGCCGAGGTCATGGCCAAGGCTGCCCGTGGGGGCGCCCGACCTGCCTGGCCCACCGCCTTTACTTCTCGGAGTGACCCAGTGTCCCTCTCAGGGTCCTTGCCTCAGAGCCCCTGCCCCCGGGACCCCTTCTGCCAACTCCCCCGGGACCCGCAAACCCCGGTCATTGCTGTGCCCAGGTTCCCAGGCTGTGTCTCAGAAGGGGTGACGGGGACTGCTGGAGAGGCGACCCTGCCACACGTGCCCCTCGGGGGACAGTGGCCTCTCCACATCCGGGGTCCGCAGGGAGCAGGGTGCTGGCGCTGCCTCTTGGGCTCTTTGTCTTCTGCCTCCCACTGCGAGGGCCCGGAAGTGGTGGATTGTCTCTAGGTCAGTCCTGGAATCGAGTCCTTGGCGCACCAGCGGGGTGACAGCCTTTGGAAGAGCCGGAAATTGCAAATGCATCACCCTGACCTCGTGGCCATTGTCTTGCCGCTGTCTGAAGGTCAAAAGCTATCTTTGTAGGGACGTTTGCTTCCTCATGTAGCTCTCTAATTTCCATGTGCTCCTCTTCCTCCCCTCATAGATGGGGGGGGAGCAGTGGATCTGATTTGAAGCATTATCCTGTCACACACACGGAACACCACACATAAAGCTTCATCAAGGCCGTGGGACTTGGTAAGACTGAACCCCTAGACTGATCTAGGGATAGATGTCTAAATAATGTGGCACACTTGAATATAGAATAATCGCTGGGAGTGGTGGTGCACATCTGTGATCCCAGCACCTGGGAGGCTGAGGCAGGAGGATTGCCATAAGTTTGAGGCTAGCCTGGGCCACAGTGCAAGATCCTGCCTCAAAAAACAAACAAAATAAGAATGTAGAATAATCAACTTACTTTTAGAAGACTCATTTTTAGAGCCTTCGACTGAGACTATTTTGAGAGGAAGGAATCCAACCAACAGTAAGTCATGGGAAATCCAACTTCTAAGTGAAGAACAGCCCACCAACAGCCTGGCCCCAGCGGGAAAGACTTTTGCATTTGTGCCCGACCTGTGTCTGCAGCCCCCGGGGTGCTGCCAGCATCAAACACACCCTTGTGATTTGTGGTTCTCTTTCCAGCTCTAGATTTGCAAGTCCAAGCTGATGCTGTGCCCTGAAGCAAGTTTGTCGTGTTTGAACCTGCAGCGAGTTTTGGAGACCAGAGAAAAGCAGCTGCAGGATGACACTGTCCCGACAGCACTGCTCGGTGAGATCTGCAGGCATCAGTGCAGCCACGAAAGCCACCAGGCTGCTTGCCAACCCGGCCCAGAGCCGAGCACAGCCGGCTGAGCTGGCGAAAGTGATGGTGGGCGAGGGCCTCACACCGCCTCAGTCCTCAGGCCCGGGCAGAGACGGGAGCTGCGGTGGTGGCCACCATAGCGATCCACTGTGTGCAGTACTGGTTGTGATGTTATTTTCAAAAGACCAGGATCTCAGCTGTGTGGATGGGGATCCCAGGAATCTGCTGCATTCTGCCTTCGTGAGCCGCGACTAAGGGCAGGCGACAGAGCTTCTTGCTGAAGTTGAGATGGCTGCAGACTGACTTCCTCCCTGGGGCAGGGACGGCAGTGAGCATCCTCCTGCCACCTCCCAGCCTGGGGACACTGCGAGGGTGAGGACTGAGCCACTCGGGCCCTGGGATGCACAGGGAGCTGGCTCTTCAGCCCTTACTAAACGCATGCAGGAAGGAACACCGTGCTCCCACCCTCAGAGCCAACCTACCCGGCCGTTGGTCAATGGTCACTGCGGTGGGAGTGGGGTGTGCTTATCGCCCCTGCACACTGCTCCCAGCCTCGGTGTCTGTCCTCAGCTCGAGGTGTGACTCGGGAGTCACATTTCCAGGCTCCAACGAGTGCCTTGCCAGGCCATGTCCTGAGGCCAACGGCAGCTGGGCCGGTGTTTCCCTGAGCGTGGTTTGTCCTGTGTGGCTCCTCCATGGCCCACGGGCGCCTGAGTGTAGCACAGAGGTGCAGCCTGCACTGGTGCCTCAGGGGCAGAGCTGGGGGCCCCTGTGTCCTCTCCGGCAGGGATGACCCACTCACCCGAGTCTCCTGTGGTCCTGCCTGTCCTGTCTCACTTGCACCTGTCACACCTGTGTCTCTCTGGTCCCCAGGTGGGCCAGTGTGTTCCAGAGTCAGCGTTTTTGCCTTTGTTCCCTTCTCTGCCTAGAATGCTCTCCCTCTAGGTCATCACGTAGCTGGCTCCTTCCCATGGTCCAGTCTCCAACATGGACTCTGAGAGCAGCCGTCCAGGACTGCACTGCTAGAGTAGACCCCACCCTGCTCCGGTGGATTCCGTGACAGAGCTCTGCTCTGCTTCTGCGTTTATTCTTCTAGGGTCTTAGCTCTCTTCTGACCCCTGTAATGTAAGTGCCATGAACCCTGAAAACTTACCCATCCTGTTTATCATGATGCTCAATAAATACTGGGGAAAGGGACGAATCAGGAATGGGTGATTCGTTCTGTGAATGAATGAATGAACAAAGGAACTAATGGATCAAGACGGTTTAGAAAGGACTCATGCTTGACTTGAGAGTACTTCCTCTGCCTGGAGGTTCAGGAGCTCCTAGGTGAGACCCAAGAAAGAGGCTGAACACTTGGATGGAAGAGAAGAATCTTGGTCCACCTCTTGCTAAGTATGTTAAAAGCAAGGATTCTATTTTCCCCTTTAACTTTTTCCCTTCAAAGAAATGGAGTTGGTGGGAAGTGGATGTTTCTGTTTCTAACAGCAGGTGGTGCTGTTGTCCTTCTCCCGCAGGGAGATTTTGCTGCACCGCTGCAGGTGCTCGGTGCTGCCCTGCAGATCCGTGCCACGCAGCTTCGGGTTTGCAAGGCGCAGGAGATCTGGGTTAGTGTGATGCCTGCAGGTCCATCGCACTATCGCCCGCACCTGGTGACAGCGTGTCCGAGAAGCGCACTTACAGGCGTGCGCTCGGGCTGAGACGCGCTGGCCGCTTGTCCCGCGTGGTGACCTGTGTGGTGAGCAGCACCCGTGTCCGGGCCTCAGACTTGTCCTCCCGGAAGCCGGGAGGCCGGCTGGGCTGTTCACAGCGCCTGCTGCCTTTCACGCAGTAGTGCGAGACTCTGCACTGAAGGCTGGTGTGGCGTGCTCAGGCGCTTCGAGTCTGTCAGGAGCTCTCTGCTGAGAGGTTAACTAGGCTGTCTTAGCACTGTCTGCACAGTAAGCTCCACGGAACCAGCGAGGGACACGGCGGGCCCCGGGCAGGATTATGACCCAGTTCTCGGGAGGGGAGGGGAGACTCCATCAGGCTCCTCATGGGTTTCCCAAGCCTTAATCACCATCATTTGTGAAATGTAACACATGGCTCCACTTTGCTGAGCAAATATAGCAAAGGTAGGTGCTGTTCATTATGTCTCAGGCGAACTCTACTTATAGACGCCTTAAAGGGGCTGAATTATGTATCAGGACGATGTGGCTTCTCATGCTCAGCATCGCCACGAGATAGGATTTACACCTAGATGTGCCAGCGTGCTGGCCAAACTCCGCCCCGGAGAGAACTCTACGAGCAGATGACAGAGACTCACACCCAAAGCCCACCTCCGGGCTAGGGTGTCACAAGCTTCTCAGGAGTGCCTGGCAGGATGCGGCCTGTGACTCCCAAGAGGACTGCAGCCTCCCAGAGGAAATGTGGGGAGACCCACAGAGGAGACGAGGAAAAAGGCGCGGCGGATTCCGGGCAGAGGTTCTGCTGGTCTTCGGTTTTCTCATTTGGGTACAAATTAAAGTTTTCGCTGCTGTGCACTACTGTTTACCCCAACGCGCACATTTTTATGTTATGCTGTTGTTATAGTGTCTGTGGGATGGTTGTTTTCCCTTTAGGTCACTTTGTGCAGCGGAATGAAATTTCCTGGCCAGCACGGCCTCTGCCTTATTGAAAAGCAGTCTCGCCCACCTTTGCTCTGAGGACCTAGCAAGGCGTCTGCACACTTGGTGCAGGGATGGAAACGTGGGAAGAAGCAGGTGAGACGCCCTGATGTCTGTACGAAAGTAGTGAGTGTAGTCTCTCCCCTTTAATTCACCTTTTTCTGGTCCAGTGCAACAGCAGGAATCTACAGTAAACTGTATTGTTTCAGGAGCTTTGGACACCCACCCAGCATTACAGCATGAAGACAAGGTGTGAGTGAAATGGCCTAAGCACATTTAACGGTGAACATTACACCGCGCACATCGTAGGGAATTCATAGACTCTTTAGATTAATTTACTTACCAACGCATTGTAATATTTCACATCTAACAAGTCTGCCTAGTGCTTTCATTTCCTTAAGCAAGAGGTTCCTCTACATCAGCTCGGTGTCCTCCTACTTTTATGATACTCTGTATGTGGCAGGGAGACTGAACACACAGCCCGGTGTCATTTTCCAGCCTGCTGCAGCCCGCAGTTAGAAACGATCCTACACTGCTGAGAACTCCTTAGTTCTGTTTTTTCCCCCATGCTCCTCTCTGTCTCTCACTTCTCTCGTGAATTTCACTTTTCCTCTTAACCAAATTCCTCCTTCAACTGACTGGCCTTTGTCCCTGCCTTCCTCCAAGCTGCTCTTGAACACAAGTCCTTTCCACATACGAAGCAACCCAGACTTCCACCCTGCTCCGTCGGCTGGCAGGTGCGGGGCCCGCCTGTCGCTGTGGCTGTGATGCTGCGGTCCCCGGCGTCCAGTGTGTGGGATGCCGGCTGCCTCTGGAAGTGTTCTCTGTCTGAGCGGCTCTGCCGCGGGAGCTCCGGATCCACAGTCTGGGTGCAGAGATGGGCAAACCGTAAGCCGTGCTGCTCCTCCACTCCTCTTGGTGTGCGAGGTCTGGACCGCCGCTCAGGCGCAGAGGTGACTGTGGTGGAGAGGGATTCTGACCAAGTCACCAGCCCCAGACGCATGAGGAAGACACAGGCATCCCCAGCATATTTGAGGGTGGAGATGTCCAGGGTGCTTTGTGACCCAGGCCGAAGAGAAGAGAGGAGTCCGCAGGCCAGGTAAGCTGTGCACAGTCCCCCGCTGCCACATGCGGACGAATGGCGTCCAGCCGGCCTCTGGGCCCGTCCTTTTCCCGGGTGTTGGGCTCAATGCTGGGTCTCATCTCATTGATCTTTATGATATGGGGCAATCAAATACAAATTCCAAAGTCCCCAAGTTTGAAACTTTTTGGTGCTTTTCATTCACTCAGCCGTCATACACCTATACTCACACCTTCCTTGCCGTCTTCTCCTCTAGAAAATAATGAGCTGGTGGGAATGAGTTCCCGGATCCATGTTCAGCGTCGCACCTCTGATCCCGGTTCAAACCAGCTATGTCCAAAAGGCTTCCTCAGACAGTCGGGAAATCTACAACAGCTTGGATATCTGACACTCAGAAAGCATGACTACTGCTGAATGTAATGTTTTCATGGTCATGTGAAATGAAGGAAGAGAGAGAGGACGGAAAGAAGTCCTGGTGAGTCCCATACAAATGAAAGTATCCACAGATAAAACGGCCAGGCCTCTCAGAGGTACTCTAAACACTCCAGCAAAAATAAAAATGTAAAACGCTGGGGTGACTGGATAAAATGAGAACAGCAGAATGTTAATGGCTCTTACGTCTGTGATGACTCATTGCCCGTTTCTCTCTTTGTTGGCCTATGTCTTTAACAAGACAGAAAACTTTGTTTGGTAGATGGTTTTGCTTCAAAGTCTGCCATCAATGTCACACAGCAGGGCTCCAGGGCCCCTTCAGGCACTCGAAGTGCTGTATGCAATGTGTACGGGAAGTCTTTCCCTCTGACTTTCTGGATTCTCCCAAGCTCTGTGCCATCCAAGGCCGAGGGGGTCTGCTTCTGCAGGTGGAGGAGCAGCTGGCTTTCCTCCGCTCAGAACTCAGCAAGGAGCACCACAACTGTGCGGTCTCAGGGAGGCCAGAGGGCAGCTGTGGACAGCCCCGGTGGATGCTTCCCTTCTCCCCATCCCCGCAGGCTGAGTTTTGAGTCCTGTCCAGCGCTCGGTGTGGCTTTGCCTTTCGCTCTCCCTGGTGCTGTGCAGACAGCGGAGCAAGGGGAAACTCCAGGGAGACCCGGCAGAGTCTGTTTGACACACCGAACTGTTGGGCCAGGACCATCACATCCGGGAGACCCAAGCACGGCTGCACCACTCTCTTCTGGTCTCTTCTGACATCCAGGACTCCATGACTTTGGCATCGTGAGGGCTTCCCATCACGTGCCAGGGAACAGAGGTGGCTGGTGGGAAGTAGATGAGAGTGCTCGCTGATCCTTACTAGAAATGTCAGAGTCCAGATGGAAGAGGTGGAACAGAGCCAGAGGGGCAGGGCACAGCATCAGCTCCTGAGTGAGCATGCGAGTCCCGTCCAGGATGCCAGGCACACTG